TGCCCCCAACTGCCCTCCCCTGCCGGCCTGTTTGCCCCCAACTGCCCTCCCCTGCCAGCCTGATCTCGCCCCCAACTGCTCTCCCCTGCCAGCCTGATCACCCCTACTAACTGCCTCCTCGGCCCCCACTATCATGCCTTTTTGTGGAAGGAAGTCAGACATCCGGAAGATGGCCAGTCGACCTGGTCTAATTAGCATATTATCCTTAATTGGAGACTAAATCATATATATATATATATATGATTTAGACTCCAATTAAGGTCAATATTAGGTACAAAGATTTAGGTTAATATTAACTCTTACAAAGACTACACAAAAATGTTACCAATATGTCAGTAAATAAGAACTATTAGAGACAAATTTATTCCCTGTCATTGTAATGAACATTTCCTTACTTAACATTTGCAGGTCTTAACCAGAGACAAATTTTGTTGTTGCTTTTTTTATAATTTATAATACTTGATACTATTAATTTTGGAACACTGATATAACAAGTTACTCTCATAGCCTAGTACCTCTGCTACTGAATGCTATAAGAAACTTCTATTTGATTGAAAACACATTTATTGCTATCTAGATCTTATGCAGAGCTTCAGTTTGGGGACCAAAATTTATTTTATTCAAATATGAACATGTGCAGTTAATACTTAAATACTTTTTTTATTATGAGAGATTTTCATTTTTTGGTGTCATTTGTGAAGTTGTCCCAAACCTAACTAAGGCACTCTTGGGGATCATCTTGAATCATGGGATTTTTCCATTATGCACAGTGAATGAATATTTTCATTTTATTTCTCTCATTGGTATACTTGCCTTACTGTACATCCATAAATTATTATTCACAATCTGCAATTAGCAATAAAATTCTACTCTTTAAATGTAAATGATTAATTCATTTTTAAAGTTACAAAATTTTCACAGTACAGATGGGGACATAGAGATTGATGAGGTAGACCCATTCAAAACAGTGAGACATTTCCAGCCACCAGGTGGTTGGATCAATTAGGCTTCTTATTCTTCAGAACAAAGAATAACAGTTAAATTCTGATGTTAACTTTATTAAAAACCTTAGATTTCAATGATAGAAAAAGAACATTTTTAACAATGATAACTCTGGAAGAGAAACAAAGAAAGCTCTAAAATGATTTTGAGAGTCAAACTAGATCTAGAAACAATAGGTTGTAAATTTTGCTTTTCATAATTAAAATTATAAAAATAAAAAGCATGAGGAGTTTGGAAATACACTGAGAACTTCAAAACCTAAGGTCCTTTGAATAGAGACTTGTGGACACATTTAAAAATGCCTGTAGAAAATGACAATTTAATATAGTAGGTAAATTTATTTTTATGCATCACATATAGAAAGGTACCCTTAAGCAGGATTAAAAGGGTAAATACATGCATTTTTAGCCCAGTTAAACTATTGCTAGATGAGAAGAACATTCTTTCATAGAATTGACCCAGCTGTCCCATAAATCCCAGGTACATCTTGTTACATACCAGATCAGCTACCTAACTGGTAAAGGTAAGTCAGTCTCATTTTGTCCCAGGCATCAGCAGGCTCCTATGGCAGTGTGAACTTTGGGAATATCTATTCAACTAGTACCACTTTTACTCATTAGTCATATGTGGCTATTGAGCACTTGAATTGTGGCTATTCCAAACTAAATACTTCATTATAAATATGCATAAGATTTTGAAAACTTAGTACAAAAGTATATATACAATATCTAATTAATAATGTTATCTTGATTACAGTTAAAATAACATTTTCTTACAGTGGTTTAAATAAAATTTATTACTAAGATTCATCTCACCTGTCTCTTTTCACTTTTCTTATTGTTGCTACTAAAAAATTAAAAATTACATATGTGACTCACATTTGCGGTTTACATTATCTATCTGTTGGCTCTTGGACTGGAGATAAGTGTCAGTCCTCCAGAGAGTGAGTGTAAATATTCACTTATGTTGGTGGAAAGAGGGGGCTACATGTTTAGATGTCACCATGACTGCAAAGTGCAGCTGATATTCATTAAATAGGGAACAAAGATTCTAAACATCAATGAGTAGAGAGTACTTTAGCTTGCCCTTCTGAAAATGACAAGAGTGCCCATGATGAGAAACACTGGCTTCTGGGTGACTTTTTCTCTAGAAAATCCATTAGGAATGTGGAGAGAACAGCATTAACTCCACCCATCTCATGGCATAGGGTATTTAGTCATAAAAGGCTTGAATCTCCTGATTCAGTGGATACTCAGATAACAAAGTGTGTATCACCTTGTCTGTGGTTTAGTAGTTGCACATACAAAAGCCCAAGTCAAAATCCTTGAAGTTTTCTGGGCTATTTTTCACTCAGGTATACTTTTGCAAGGCCCTTGAGGACTTGGAATTGTTAGAGAATTGTCTTGGAATTGTCCTAGAGTGTGAGGGGCCCAATTCAATTTTTTTCCAGCCCATTTTCTATATAAACACTTTGAGTAACCCCAAATCAATGCAGCAACAATTTAGTGGTTCAATCTTATATAATACTAGAGGCATGGTGCACAAAAATTTGTGCACTCGGGGGGCGGGGGAGGGGGGGGTCCCCCCGCC